ACGAAGACGTTTTCCCGAGAATAATTGGCACGGCCAGTGTACAGAGCATCACCAGTGCTGTCATCTGCATAGCAATGAATGTTACGGGTATGCAACATATCATTGATATGCAGAAGAAATAGCGTTGGCGATAGCACGCAGCCTTGTGAAACACCAGAATTAATAGGCTTGTAATCGGAGCATGCACCGTCTACAACGATCTTGATATGCCGATCTGCAAGAAAGCTGGTGATCCAATTGCACAATTTAGCCCATAGGAAGGGAGCTTCGAAAGAAGCGCTTTGTGCCAAACCCGATCGAAGGCCTTCGCAATGTCCAAACAAATGGCCAAGGGGGAGGCCTTGGACTCCGCCCATCGATGAGTCAGGTAGACCAGAAGATCACCAGCTGAACGACCTCAAAGAAAACCGTATTGGCGGTCACTAATCAGCTGGTGATCCTCAAGATGCCGCATGAGCTGCCAGTTTATAATGGATTCCATCATTTTGGAGAACAAGGAGGTGATGGCCATAGGCCTGTAGTTTGACGGATCTGAGCAGTCGCCTTTTTTAGGGATCGGGTGGACGAAAGTCGTCTACCATGATTTTCGGACTACGCATAGGGAGTAGGAGTACCGGAAAAGACGCGTTAGAACCGGTCCCAACTCTGGAGCACACATCCTAAGCACAATTGGGGGGCTTCCGCCTGTACCTCTCGATTGTTAAAAAGCGTAAAAAAATGTGTTTCTCTCTGAAATATTAGTTATATTGATAAGAAATAGTTAGGACTTCACTGAGGATATTCCTAAAAGTAGAAGAATTTAAAAAATGCTAATAATGTGTAAAAAATTAAAGAATACAGCATTGTTTTGTGTACAAACATACACTAGAAATCGAAAACTTTTATTTAAAACGCGATTTCAATGATGACACTATAACCATTTTCGTAACAATTATGATAATTTTTGTACCAACTAGCGACATCTGGTGAAGGTAAGATTCCAGTCCTCATTCCACGTTTACCCATAGTTTCAGATTAAATTCACAGATGTCAATGTTATCAAATATCAATGTCAGTGAAAAAAAATGGAAGTGTAAAAATTCATTAAATAAATTTAAATGGTCAATTTTTAACGACTATGGTAAAAAGCTATTTAAATTTCTTAATTTCTTTCAACTATATACTATTTTACTACAATATACGAATATTGAATGTCTGTGAACCATATTCCATAATATAGCATGATGAAAACGATATTTTGCAATGGCAACATACTTAACATACGCTTGCTTATTGTAATGCTGCCAATATTGCGCTTTGAGAGCTAAATCTAGCACTTTTGTGGTAAGCTTTGCGCGCGTTTGAAAATTATTTCTTTTTCATTTTTGACTTAGCAGCAAATTATTGTTGTACCATAACACAGAATAACCGATTTGTCCTATAGGTACATTTATGTTCAGTTTTTTTTTTCTAACAACATAAACATTCAACATAATATATTCCATCTACTAAATATTTAGTCCGGTCAAATTAGACCAGAAAATAAGATCGAAGATACATAAATTTACAAGCTGATAATCGGTAAAATTGTTCAAAATATAATTATAAATAAAACTTTGAAGTTGCCCACCATTCCTGTGCATGAAATTTTTTCAAGGTCAAAGATCAAAAAAATATGTTTTTCGCGATTTTCGGCAAAACGGTAAGTTTTATCATAAAAATACTTCATCAGACAAAAGTTGTAGATCGTAAAATTATCTACAAAAAAAATTTTCAATACTTTTTTTCCTACGAGTTACCGTTTCTGAGATTTTACGATTCAAAAAGTTGTAAAAGTTGTAAACGTCATAATACGCATAAGTACGCCATGTATATACATCTCTAGAGTTTTAATATATGTTAAAATATTTTTCTATCGGTCATTGTAACTTACACTTAAAATATAAAATATAAATAAGTTGTGGCTGTAAGAAACTCAGTCCCTTCAGTGTAACGTCGCGACAACATCTACGTCCCTTGTTCAATTGTGTGCGTGGCTAGGGTTTCATACCTGCTATAATAAATAAAATATCGATATATATATATATATATATATATATATATATATATATATATATACGAATATAATAAATTAAACATGATCATAACTGACTGGTGGAATAGGCCTACTGGGGAAACCACGTTAAAAAACGCGCTAAGTACACTATCTCATAGGTAGCGTGGAAAAGTGTGCATATTATGATGTTTACAACTTATTGAATCGTAATATCTCCGAAACGGTGGCTCCTAAGAAAAAAAGTATTGAAACATTTTTTGTAGATGATTTTATGATCTAAAACTTTTGTATGGAGTATTTTTATGATAAAACTTACCGTTTTGCCGAAACGCGCAAAAAAACTTTTTTTAACCTTTGACCTTGAATAAAAACAATTCCATATACATGAGTGGTGGAGAACTTAAAAATTTTATTTATTATTATATTTTGAACAATTTTACCGATTATCATCTTGTTGTAAATTTATGTATCACCGAATATCTGGATTGACCGGACTAAGTATGTACATGATTGATAATAAGCCCCGGGAATGTGATGATCGCTACCATGCTGTTTATTAACGTTTTCATAACAATTGTATTTTTTTAATAGAAGAAGGGGCAAACGAGCATGCGGCTCACCTGATGTTAAGTGACTACCGCCGCCCATGATTAACCGCAACACCAGGCGAATTGTAGGTGCGTTGCCGGCCCTTTAACGCGTAAGCTCTTTTCTTAAAGGTCCCCAGGTCGTATCGGTCCGGAAAAATCACCAGCGGTAAACTATTCCACAGAGAGGTTGTACGCGGAAGAAAACTCATTTTGAAACGCACAGTGGTGGACCGCCAAGCATCCAGATGGTGTGGATGGCATTGGAACGTTAGCCTCGTAGTACGCTCATGAAATTTGGCGGCTGGGATTAATCCGAACAATTCCTCAGAGCAATCCCCGTGCCCGTGTAAGATGCAAAAGAAAATGCTAAGAGATGTAACATCTCTTAGCAGCGCCAGTGAATCGAGCCGATCGGAAAGCAATAGGACGTCTACGATTCCTGCCGCTCTGCGCTGGATGCGGTTAAGTGGAAGGAGCTGGTACTGGGGAGCCCCAGCCCAGAGATGGGAACAGTATTCCATGTGCCGCCGAACCTGCGCCATGTAAAGTTGCTGGCGGTGTGCCGGCATGAAATACTGTCCCACTCTGCTGAGCACGCCAAGCTTTTTAGAGGCCAATTGGGCCTTCTCTTCCAAGTGACCACGAAACTGCACGTCACTCGATATGTGGACGCCGAGGATTCCGATACTGGATAAGGCAACAAGGAGGGTGCCTTGAAACTGGGGAGATACGATAAAAGGGTTCTTTTTAGCGGTTAACGTGCAAACTTGTGTTGTGTGTTGTTCTGGGGGTTAAACTGGACTAGATTTAGTCGCCCCCAATCCGAGACTCTGTTCAGCAAAGACTCGACTTCAGACACAAGTTTGTCCCGGTAATCGGAAACGTTTTCCCGAGAAATATTGGCACGGCCGGTGTAAAGAGCATCACCAGTGCTGTCATCTGCATAGCAATGAATGTTACGGGTATGCAACATATCATTGATATGCAGAAGAAACAGCGTTGGCGATAGCACGCAGCCTTGTGAAACACCAGCATTAATAGGCTTGTAATCGGAGCTTGCACCGTCTACAACGACCTTGATGCTCCGATCTGCAAGAAAGCTGGTGATCCAATCGCACAATTTCTCGGGAAGCCCATAAGAAGGGAGCTTCGAAAGAAGCGCTTTGTGCCAAACTCGATCGAAGGCCTTCGCAATGTCCAAACTAACGGCCAATGCCTCCCCCTTGGACTCTACCGCCTCCGCCCATCTGTGAGTTAGGTAGACCAGAAGATCACCAGCTGACCGACCACGGCGGAAACCGTATTGGCGATCACAAATCAGCTGGTGATCCTCAAGGTACCTCATGAGCTGGCAGTTAACAATAGACTCCATCGTTTTGGAGAACAAGGAGGTGATGGCGATAGGCCGCTAGTTGGACGGGTCTGAGCGGTCGTCTTTTTTAGGGATCGGATGGACGAAAGCCGTCTTCCATGATTTTGGGACTATGCCTAGGGAGTAGGAGTACCGGAAAAGACGCGTTAGAACCGGTGTGAACTCTGGAGCACACGTCCTCAGCACAATTGGGGGGATTCCGTCAGGCCCACTCGACTTGTGGATGTCCAGGGAGAGGAGTGCTATGCGAACCGAGCGCTGAGTGAACTGCACTTCCGGCATGGAACACTCACACCGCGGGATGATCGGCGGCGTACTCTATAAAACGTATAACGGAGTAACAGCGTACTGTATAAAATATTATATTGTAAATTGTGCTTTAAAAAAAAGACTCGCTGGGTTTCTTGCTGGTTCTTCCCAGGGTAGAGGTTTGTTTTCAAACCAGTCGAGTGACACGAGCGCCGCGCCCCGGATTGGTCGTGTGATCGGGTATGGCGGCGGTGCTAGTTTTGGAAAAAAAATTACGTTATCGTGCAACAACTGTAGAATCGTCATATGTGAATTATTATCTTATGTACAGAACAAACTGTCTGTACCGGATGAAGACAGTATTGAGAGAATATGTGCTGCGACGTTTTCGTCTTAGGAGATCGAACAGGCGAATAAATTATTCGTGGATTCCCTACCTCAGGATCTGCGTAAAATTAAGAGGAAGGGAAAAGGCAAGGAAAACCGTTTTTAAACGATATAATCAGCCTTTTTAAGGGTGATGTTTTGCCCTGATGTTTTGCCAGTGTTCGTAGCAAGAGACTTAGATAAGCTACCTCCGATTACATTCGATCACCTTGACGCCTCAAAACTAGTTAAGGACCTAGCTGTTGTGGCAGGCTGAGATAAAAACATTAAGTCATCATACGCAACTATCGACCAGCTAGAAAAAGTGAAAACGGAGTGCCAGAATCTCAGGAATACATCGCCGCCCTTCTTATCTGCAAAGGTGAACATGAGAACTGGCGCTTATCGAGACAGTGGGCATTCCGATGTTGAAGCGTCATCTCCGAGGGATCTTAATTTAACCTATAGAAGCATAAATTATATGGAGGGTAGTGCTTTTGGAAGATACAAATCACGTCCCTCGAGCGGGATAGGCGCACGCAGCGCGAAACAGAGTAGGGGCGCGGGCGCGGGCAGTGCGAGTGATGAGTCACCGCAAACGGCGAGCGCGCTGAGTGCTCCGAGCGCGCAGCCAAGCAGCGAGGCAGTGCCGAGCCGGGCAGCGCGGCCAGCTGCAGGGCCAGCCGGTGTGTTATCATTCACCGAGGTGACTAAACAGAGGGTGAGTGGAATATTGTACAGCCTCGGAAACCTAAAACGAGGTCGTATCATTATCTGGGCGTTGCGGGTGTTTTCAATGACCAGAATTTTTTAAGGCCACGGACAGAAAAGTTCCAATTTTTATTACTATGGTGCATAAGGAGACGACGGAGAAGGATATTGTGGAATACGTTTACAATAAGACGCAAGAAAATATTAAACTGGAAAAGATATCTTTTTTGAGAGGAAACAAGGACTATAACGCGTTCAAATTTTTCGTAACAGAGCGGAAAATAAAAACATTTTTAGATGCAACACTTTGGCCGGAAGGCGTTTATATTCAGGCAATTCGTCAACTTCAGGTGAAATAATAGCAGTGGCACGAACGGTGTAGCGATGAATACCGTGAACGGCCCTATCTCTGCTGTAAATGGATAAAAGTCTCAACTGTAATTTAGTTAGCTTCAACTGTAAAAGTGTAAAACGCTCAGTTGACGATGTGAGATTTTTGTGTCAGTCGGCGAGTGTATAGTGTGTATATTTAGTTTCTTAGCGGGATTGATGAGCGTTTCGGCAGCACGGGCACGTCTGCAATGGATTCGGCGGCGGGTATTGTTTCCGGCCGGCCTTATGGGGGGTGTAGTGCTGCTTTGGGACAAAAGTCTTTTCCAAAATGTGTGTGTTGTGATAATCCACGAATATGTGGCATACAAATAATGCTGGGCGATAGGTACATTTTAGTGTTTAGTGTGTACATGCCTACAGATAAAATGGTAAACCTTACGGAATATACGGATTGCCACAGTTTGGTGAGTGCTATAATTAACAGTTGTAATGTAGAATGTGTATACATCCTTGGCGACTTTAACGCCCATCCGAAAGAGCGGTTTTATGACGGGTTGACGTGTTTTTGTGACGAACAAGAGTGGTCATGTGTAGATGTACAGCTGTTAGGTGTAAGGTCGGGCACACACACTTTTGTAAGTGAGAGCCACGGGTCGAGAAGGTGGCGACGAAATCCTCTGTATATTATCCTGTATGTTTATGTTAATTATGATGTGTACTGGTCTGACCATTATCCTTTAGTAATAGAATGTAACTTGTATATTGTCAAACCAAAGTTGAATTGTGTATATAAAATGACTAACGAGATCCTATAGGGAGATAGAAAACCGGAGGAGATCAGAATTTATACGAAATTATGTCATGAAAAGTTAAGAGATTTTCCCGAAGAATTTCGTTCTTGTAGTAAATGTGTTTGTAATTGCATTGATTACAGATTCCTTATCGATAAATTATATAGCGAAATTGTAAATTCTTTATCTGTGGCTACCACTGAATCCTACACTGTAAGATCGCGCGTTGGCAAGCGATGTCCACAGGGAGGCCAGGTCGAAGTTTTTAATGTGGGTTTGGTGGGGAAAACCAAAAAATGGTAGTGTCTATGAGGACACGCATAGGAGTCGCAGTTTATTTAAGTCGTGCTTAAAGTGGTGTCAGAACCACAGCGATCAAATAAAAATGGACATTTTGGCTACTCAGCACGCGAACTAGTTTTGATAACTTTTGGAAATCGACCAATAATTTAAATAGAAAACCTGGCCTACCAGTGAGCGTTAATGGTATTAATGATCAATGTCTTATAGCGGATATGTTTAGAGAGCATTTTACAGTGACATCACCATTGGAGCCATCACAGGCCATAGGAGATGAGGATACGTGTGGCCGGGAGATTGGAATCCGATTTACAGGGAAGGATGTCAATAAAACTATAGCTTCTATATCTCGTGGGAAGTCTCCTGGCCATGACGGACTTAGTATTGAGCATCTTAAACATGCGGGTCCTCACTTACCTAGATTACTTTCTATGTTTTATAACTTATGTATATCGCATTCATACGGCTTGCGGCTTGGCTAAACTGTTGAGCATATGTGAGAGCTACGACCGCAGTCACGGATTGATTTATAATTTCAAGATAAGCGAATGCATGGTCTTTCAGGCTAAAGGTAAAACCTTTCCCACATATGTACCACCCATTAAGTTATACGGTACCCCGTTAAGAAGGTTGTCTCAGTTTAAGTACCTGAGTCATATGGTATCCTTTGACCTAAAAGATGATGCTGACATAGAGAGAGAGCGCAGGGCATTGTCTGTTAGAGCGAACATGATCGCTCACAGGTTCGCTTGTTTTTCAGTTCCTGTTAAACTAACGCTCTTTAGAGCTTACTGCACTTCCTTTTACACGAGCAATCTGTGGGTGGACTACACGCAGAAACAGAAACAGCCCTGCGTGTTCAATACAGTAATGCATTCAGAGTGCTGTTGGGTCTGCCTCGTTTTTGTAGTGTGTTGGGTATGTTCGCGGATGCGCATGTGGTTTGTTTCTACACCACCATACGTAAACGATGGACATCCCTGGTGCGCAGGGTGCGGGCCAGTTCCAATGGTATCCTGAGGGCATTTTCTGATAGGTTTGATTGTCAGTACCTGAATCATTGTCATATGGTGCACGTGCTGACTAAACGGGCCTGTCTTAGATATAGTTTTAAAATTAGGTAAATAGTTTTAAGTTTTACTAACATTAGTTTTAAGATTTGTATTATTACTAACATCTATGATCCTTGTGGTTGAAATAAGCGACTTTTATTTATATATTTAAAAGTAAAAAATTACTTTCAATAAGTATAACATACGATCTATATTGAATAAAAATGATTCTATTTATTCTATTCTATCCATGGTACATTTCAGACTGGAGTATTTACCTCCAAGCAGCAGTAAAGGTATTGCTGCTTTTCACTGCTGCTGCTGCTGCACTATAGCACAGAACACTAGTACCCTGCACTATAGGTTCTGGCAGAAAAGGAGTCTTACGTACTTTTTTAATTTAACACGGAAAAGTTCGAATATAGCGCGAAATCTAACGCTTTATTGATGTGCTAATTTCATTTAATGTAGCGCTTTTTGTACCCTTGTTATAGCTGAATAGGATTTTTGATCTGGCAGCACTCTTTACTCTTTGTTGCTTACACGTCAAATTGCCAAATTGAGTTTTAAAGATTCGCTGTTATCATCAACATTCGAGTTTATTAGTATTTTAAGCAACAATTATAATAGTGTTTACTAAAAATACGGATGAATTAATGTAATTTGAATGTGTTAGTGAAAAAACAAAATCATTCCGTAATAGATAACTCATGGTTTACTAGGCCAAAATTATAAAATGGGTAAGCTTAATTGTCATCTATAAAATTTTTTGTTGGTTAAATAGTGAGAAATTATCCAAAGTTGTTTTTGGTTTGCAGGTGGTTTATTTAGTTACTTTAGAGGATTGTTAGGGGCGCGAGAAATGAGGATTTTGATCCTCGGATTGGACGGCGCCGGTAAAACTACTATATTGTACAAACTGCAAGTTGGGGAGGTGGTAACTACTATACCAACCATCGGGTTCAATGTCGAGCAAGTCACATACAAAAATTTAAAGTTCCAGGTGTGGGATCTTGGTGGACAGACAAGTATTAGGTAAGCTCTTTATTGAGGTTATAATATCATTTACTATTGTCATTATTTAAAAAATAATTGCTGTTAAGCTGATTTCGAATGCAATTTATAGATAAAAGGACCCCTTTGTCGTATCTCCTCAGTTTCAGAGTACTCCCCTTGCTGCCTCAGCTAGCATCGGAATCCTCGGTATTGACATATTGAATAGTGTGCAGTTTTATGGTCACATGGTGGGGTAGGCCAAATTGGCCTCTAAAAAGCTCAGCACGCTCAGCAGAGCGACAGTATTTCATGCCGGCACATCACTTGCAACTTTACAAAGTGCTAGTTCGGCACACATGGATTAGAGAGATACTGTTGGGTTGAGTTTACAATTCGGTTGCCTGAATTTGAAGATTCTGTCACTGTGGGTCAAGGGGGTTTATCTGAAACACCACCACTCGATTTTTGCTGCCGGAGCAGCGTCAAAGTATTTTAATTATTTTTTATAATTATTGGTTAATGACTAATTAATTACATTTTTGATGTTTCATCTGTCATTGTCATATCGATATATAGTACTGAATAGATCTGAATCGATATTTCACCCTAGAGAATCGAGATCGAAACTTTTTCTGTTTTATTAAGATTTGTAAAATTATTTACAATTAGTTGAATATACCCCAACTCGTAAAGAATGACAGTTTTTAATTCAATCATTCAACGTTATCTGTACTTTATTGTATCTTTTGATATTGTAAATATAAAGTTTTAACGCAAATCAAAAAAAGATCAATTTTTGCGAAATCCATCTTTAAGATTTTGATTTTTTGTGATTCGATGCATCTAATTTTGATTTGAATCGATTTAAAAATGTGTAAAATTAATCGCTAGGCCGGCCATTTTGACATTTTGTTGACAATTTTTTCGTCATGCCATTGCTTCCGAGTTTCATAATTTTGGTGAATAGTGGAATATTTGTGGCGACAGAATACTGCTAAATATCGCAAAGATCCTTTCTTACAAATGGTGGCAGCCATAAATTATGTTTATAAATTAAAGTAGTTATAAAAGTTAATATTTTGGTGTTATATTGGGTGCAATAGTGAGCAAAGCGAGCCTAGGACGTGGGGCACCCCGACTCGGATAGGTTAGGTTAGAAGGGGCTCCTCCGACCGGGCTTCCCTCGACTGCACCACGTTTAGTGGCGTGGGGCTTCCGTCCCCCAACTCTCTCTCCCGATAAATCAGGTTAAAATTGTCATAAAATTTACAAAACATAACCTCAAAATGAGATTTTTAAAAATTTATAAAAAAAAGCTAAGGGGGTGACTCTACAACTCCTCCCCCCACACCACCCCCCACCCCCTAATTCAGGCGACCGAATTGTAAACCTTACCCATACTGTTCTCATCTCTGGGCTGGGGCACCCCAGTGCCAGCTCCTTCCACTTGACCGCATCCAGCATAGAGCAGTTCAAATAATCAACAACCGAGTTCTTTCTGATCGGCTCAATTCCCTGGCGTTGCGTTTTTGCCTCTGTGTTTTCTTTTGCATCTACCACGGGGAGTGTTCTGAGCAATTGTTCTGATTAATTCCAGCTGCCACATTTCACGAACTCACATAATGTCAAAATTCACGATACGATCCTTACCATCTGGAAGCTTGGCTGTCCATCACTGTGTGTTTTATTAGGAGTTTTCTTCCTCTTACAACTTCTTTATGGAATTATTTACCACCGGCGATTTTTGCGGACTGCTACGATTTAGGGACCCTTCAAGAAAAGAACTTACTCCTTTCTAAAAGGCCAGCATCGCACCTGCAATTTCCCTGGTATTGCGGTTGTTCATGGGCGGCCGTAGTTACCATCAGGTGAGCCGCATGCTCGTTTGCCTCCTCTTCTATAAAAAAATAAAATCTAGAATTTAAGTAAATCGAAAACCTTCAGTATCATCGACTAATTATTAAAAAGTGGCTACCAATAATACTGTTTTGTAGTTGTTTTCTTTTATTTTTTCACTTAATTTAACTCTGATCACTAAGTTAAAGAAAAATCAGAGAAGTTGTAACTAAGTTGGCAAAAAAATGTACAAAAATATCTAATTAATATCTTTATATTATTATCTTGTGTGATAGCTATTCAATATTTCTGTTTAGCTGTGCAGTGCTCTTCAGCATAATATAATGTTAATTTGTTAAAAAATAAATGCAAATCCCACTTTTTCTTAAATTTAAATGACTTCTAAGTAGTCTGACTACTACAACTATCAAAGTAAAAATGATATTTACTGACCTTTAAATCTTTTACGTCTTTATTTCCAGGCCGTATTGGCGATGTTATTATGGAAACACAGATGCAATAATTTATGTGGTAGATTCTGCAGACAGAGATCGAATAGGCATATCCAAGGATGAATTGGTGCATATGTTAAGAGTAAGTTTAATTATCTCTAAATCACTTGTACAAAATTTTTAGTGTTTAATTAATTATTTTTATTGCTCTATGGTGATAGAAACAATCACCCTATTTCATTTCCTGGGTGTCTTAAGCGGTGACTATGGTCAAATGCCAAAAAATACTTGTCTTGCGAAGTGTAACATCTCACTTTTGCCAGATGTAAAAAACCCAGATCAGTAAAAGCAGCAACTGGCAGCAGTGGTAAAGCTATGAGATGTCTGGCCCTGCTACCGCCAATCTGCCTGGCTAATGTAACATAACATTTCCTACAATTAGAGAGGTCTATGTTCAACAGTGGACTTTTCCAGTTACTGTTAACGAAGAAACTGTGTTCCTTAGATTAATACACCAATTCTCATTCTGAGTAAAAACTTCAGCTGTTACTTAACCCTTATATTCTGAGCCAGCATGGTCTTTTTCCTTCTAGCATACCTTGTACTGCTGCCCTATTAAACCTGTTCTGTTTTTAATTTTAAACCATTAATTTTAATATTTAACCATTCTACCACGTAACCATAACTTTTACACAGGAATATTGTTAAGTTGGAAGAATTACTTTATTTGATTTGGTTACTTTGTGGTGGTGGCATTAGAGTATCTGTCACTGTTTTGTGTAATGTGTGTCTGTAATGGCTACTCTGGGAAATCCCCACAAGGGTCTGATTTCTGACAGATAGATGGACAGTATAAATAAGAAGTTAAATACTAGTGACTTGTAATGGTGAGCAGTTTTATAAGCGTAAGATATCTCATAATACAGTAACACTTGAACCGTTTTGTGGCATTAAAAGCAATTTCTGGTAATTTTATACTATTGCGGTCCCCTCGTTTTTTGGCTCTAGAAAATCTAAAAACATCCGATTTCGATGATTTTTTTAAATCTTCATTATTACGGCGGATTTACGAAAATAATTACAAGAATTAAAAAAATTAAAACTTATATTGGTTTCAAGGCTTTAAATGTTCATGAAAATGCACTCATTCACATATAATTATTGATAACTTTTTTAAATAGTCTAATGAGTATTTTACAAGAGAGTAATTTAACAAATTATAAGATCCCATGCAATCGGTGCAACCATTTGTGCAGAAATGCAAAGGCGTTATTTTTATATTCTCCAACTAAATGTGTTTTCGCAAAAGCCTGGAGATTTGGAGGTGGACTGTGTGCTTGTTTGTCACCCATATTCTATAAAAAAATCATTTTACCAGAAGTTTAGTGCTAGGAGTTAAGTTTGTAGCTGGTCTGGTAATTTTTATTGTGATTCCATCGTCTGTCAATACACATTTTTCAACAATTCATTGCTCGGCTTTTAATTGAAATAGTTTTATAATTATTCTTTAACACTAATTATTATCTTATTTTATCCTTATCTTTTTATCAAGTAGAATTACTGCAATCTTTACTATAATATTAAAAACATGGAAAACACATTAGAATGTAACTTAGTTTATATATTTTATCAACTGTTCAATGTTAAAAGTCCCGCATTTCTTTTTGGTTCTTCCCAGGACAGAGGTTTTTGTTTAACCAGTGATAAATCAAACAGAAGATGTTATATTTTCTTGAGATGATTATAGGTCATAAGGTCTTTCAGGACTTTCCTATAGTTACCTGTTGGTATTGTTTGCCTTCGAAACTATTATGTATTCTGTGCTTTGGTATAAAATGTTTTTTTTTACTAACGGAATCTTACATATAAAAACTTTTTGCTGTAAAAACAAAAAAAATTAAAACAGCTCAAACAATTTTTATTAATTTTTTTGAATGTATTTGAGTGGGTCCCTGCATGGTTTAAAATCTCAATCGGACGCGTAGGTTTTACTGTTGCTGAGATACAGAAATCACCCGTGAGAAGCACCTTGCGAAGTATGCTAGTACTAGATATTATTATAAAATATTTTAATTCTTTTTTAAAAATAAGGCCTAGATAAATATCCAGCCGGCAATATCCATTTAAGTAAAGTTTACTTTGCTTCAACTTATCAGATTTGCTTTTTAATTAGATTTGTCTTCTATAAGCAGTTGTTAAATAAAATGAAAGTTAAGAGCTGTTAATAGTTAACTGGCCATGAGCTTACATATATAATGCCCAAGCAATTTAAAAATACATACTGAAATGTTAATACGAAACAAATAACGTCTGTCTTTTAGCTTCAACATAAGAGAACACAATGATATGAATACATCTTGTCCCATAGGTGTCGTGATATTTGATTAAAATAAATAATGATATAATTAATAAAAACAGCTCAAAATAATTAAAAAACTGCAGATGCCATCAAAAAATTCAAGAGTCGATTTAGGTTAGAGTCAATTTTACAAATTATTTGAATGGTATCATCATTCTTTGAATACAGATTTGATATATACATGATTGATCATAACCCCCAAGGTTTGATCACTACCATGTTTTTAATAATTACACTGTTTCTAAATGTTTTCATACTAATTCTATAAAATATTAGCCGTGCCCCTTGGTTTCACCCCCTTATATCACGCGTCGGAGCCGCACGACATTACCAGGCATTCACTGATGGTTTCTCTCAGTTCTCATCGCGCGCCTATCTTAGTGTTGAATTATTTTTAATTTTTTATTATCTCTTAAACTATACGTCCAAATAACATGCTATAAAGAACAAATTTTATCTTCATAAAATTTACTTGATGATGAAGTAATTTTCGTTAGTAACGATTAATATGCCATGCCACTCGTAAAACACTTTAATTTTCATTAATTTTTGTCACAAAATACTTTGTTGTGGCTTATGTATAAGAAACAGGGACTTTTTAGATTGAGTAAAGATCTATATTTTTGTAGAACATTTGTATTGAACATCAGCATTTACATATCGTTTACTATTACGTCAGCGCACGCGGATAAAGCAATTCAGGAGCGGTTTTCTTCCGACTTGCTTTACAAAAATCAATTATTTAACGCTAGCTGAGAGGTGTATCCTAATGCTAGATAGCCTATACTACTTATAAATCTGGCTAAAATATACATACTCGGACTATTTTGAAAATGGCCATAGCATCAATTATCATCAGGTGAACTGTGTGACTGCTTGTCATACTAATCTTTTGACAGGGAAAAATTCCGATTTATCACACTCTAGGCGGTGAAAGAAAATCATATTAGTATGGATAAAGTCCTCTATCACACTTTGGGGCAGCACACCAGACTTCTTGCTCCAAAACCCACTCATTGAGAGGAAGCCTGTGTTGCAGGATGTATTTTTTTATAGAATAACGGTGACAAACGAGCACACAGTCCACCTGATGGTATGTGGATGCTGTGGACTTACTTTTTACAGGAATACTTCGATTCCAATAAAAAGGGTCTCCGTATCTCTACACTCACCATATTTCACGTTAGTATTCTGTGGGGCGTGGTCCTTCCCCGGTCGTGCCGACCCATTTGTGCTACAACCATAATATAGCTGCAGCTTGACTCTACCACTTTATTACTTTAATTTGTATGTTTTGTATTACCAAGTGATGAGACTGCCTAGGAGTCTATTTGGGTGGACACTACTCTCTTACCAATTTATGCCCCCAAAATCACATGCTTGCACTCCTGTGTTCTGGTCTGAGGAGTATAGCAAGTCAGTGTAATTTTATATATTTTACTTAGTCCTCAGAAGTGAAACACTTATGTAGCCTCCTTTCTTTAAAGTTGGCTGCAGGACTATGTTTTTTGTCACTACAGTTTTATGAAAAAAAAAACTAATTAATAAATCATTGTGTCTTCATTATAGGAGGAGGAACTTGCAAATGCGATTCTAGTGGTCTTAGCAAACAAGCAAGATATGGCAGGCTGCCTAACAGTGGCAGAAGTACATCAGGCATTGGGTTTGGATGCTCTCCGCGATAGAACCTTCCAGATATTTAAGACGTCGGCTGTGAGGGGCGAAGGGCTGGACCAAGCGATGGACTGGCTATCTGATGCATTACAAGCTAGGAAATAACATAGAGAGAGTGAGTATAATAGATGTTTAGTTTAATAGGGTAGAAGGATTTCTGCCTGGCAATGTGCTGGATTTATACTACTCTGCCTTTTTTTTTCTATAAAAATGGGTGACAAATGAGCACACAGTCCACCTAATAGTAGGTGGATGCTGTGGTCCATAAACATATATATCTATCCTCAATTAAAGGATCCCAATGCGGATGCATTGTCACCCCTGAAGACTGAGATGGAATTCCTCGTTTACAGTAAAAAGGGCCTCTGGTTCTCTACACTCACCATACAAAACACAGCATCATTAAATGTTACTTTACACTGGTATTCTGTGACAGTGCTGTCCTTTCATTTGTGCTACACCAATAATAAAGCTGTATTGTGTCTCTACCCGTGAAAACTTTATATCTATCAAGAGAGCCAAAATAATGTAACAATGATTTCTTATGTTTATGCAAACACTACACATCTAAATTAAACTATTTATAAATTTTTAATAAATCCAAAGAAAGGATCAAAAATTCATAACTCCGAAAATATTAACATTATATCATAAAAAGTCATAAGACAAGAACTTTTTATTTGTATTTGATCAAAAAATATAAAAAAATTGTCCTGTTTGAAATTAACAATTCCTTGCAATTGACAAAAAATCGGTTTAAACAATATAGCACCAAGTTACCCCATGGCAACATGCATTTGTATCATTAGTAGGACAATTTGAAGAGAATCACATAAAAAAATTGAGATGGAATAGTTGTCGGTACTCATGCACCGATCCTCCTGGACTATCTAGTGTCTTGTTTTTTTTATAGAATAAGGGTGAAAAACGAGCACACAGTCCACCTGATGGTAAGTGGATGCTGTTGCCCATAGACATCCACATTTATCCTAGATCAAGAATCAAAACACAGATGCGTTGTCACCCCTGAGGACTAAGACGGAATACCTCGTTTCCAGTAAAAAAGCGTCTACGGATCTCTACACTCACCTTACAAAACACAGCAGTATTAAGCTGCTATTTTACGCTGGTAATCTGTGAGAGCGTGGTCCTCCCCGGTCGAGCCGACGCATGCTACAACCATAGTATACCTGCGTGGCTTTGACCACTTTGTGGCCTATAACCAATTTAAGGTCCATTGCTGAATATAGATCTCCCTTTAGATTGCCTCGTGGTGGATTGGGTATGGTATAGTGTGTAATTCCCTTAGTTGATATGGGAAGTATTTAGTTACTATAATCATCACGGTTGGCAGGCTTTGGTTTTCAACTGCAGTTGTAAACTAAACTAACTAAGAAGATAATAAACTTTAAATTAAATCAAAACTATTAATTTATTACATTACACAAAATAAATGATATAAAAGCTTGTCGCGAGATATTTACCATTTTTATAAAAAACATTTTTATTTAGGATTACCAATGTCAATATCAATTACATAATAATTGTATTCTTGTTTATGTAGGTGTAGGTACACAGGTATGTCTCGCGACAAGCTTTTATATCATATGAATTATGTAATGCAATAAATTGATGGCTGTGATTTAAAGTTTATTTTCTTCTTTTATGAACATTTAAATAAAAGCTTGTTTTAAAAAATGTTTGATTTTGAGTTTTTATAAGGTAGTCTAGTTCTAGTCTTCTAAATATAATATACTGTCTTATTTACAAAACATTACATTTCAGGGCTGATATATTTGAAGATGTGAAGAGCAGGATCGAAGGAAAAATCAAGAATGGAATGGAGAGACATAAATTATCTATTAGTCATACGTTTATTGCCTTTAAGTTAGTACTTAGCGTCGCCGCCATATTCTAGCAGCTGTAAGAGTTTAATTAAGTGCCCGAGACAACAGTCCACCTGATGGTTTGTGATTTCAACTCCAAACAAGCCATGTTCATCTCTGAAAACTGAGATGGGATGCGTTTTGATCTATATTCGTGGTTATTTTTCTTGGTATTTTCATGTATACATCCAGCATTTAAGTCAGTCATAAAATTAAATTTATGTATATAATATGAAAATAATGAAACATTTTTCTATTTGTTGTTGCATTAACTACAAAGCTTTCTGCGTAAAAAAATGCTATAATGGTGGCACTACTCGATCGTCCAACTCCATTTGCAAATGAAGAAAAAAATACGAACAAGTATTTTTTTCTTCATTTGCAAATGTCTATGCACACCTGACTCGTGGTGGCAAGAAAGTTGGATTTAAAAAGTCTAAAACCCCATGGCCGCGGCTCTGCTTGTAATTGGCGAAGGTGGAACCACCTTCGCCAATTACAAGCAGAGTCCGCAGTCTCATTAGCGTTAGACGCCTCTTGGCTGCCACTCGGGAGAAGGCGATTTCTCCCCCTTTCCTCTTGTCATACAAGGCGTGCCTTCATATAAGGTCTGATGTTCACATTCGCAGCAGACCCAATAGATCAGGGGTCAGGGGTTCTAATCCCAGCGGAGGATTTGGTCTATGGCTCCACCACCGACTACGTTTTTAACTATTATAGGCCAGTGCTTGACTGCTATCCTATCAGATGGTAAGCGGTGATGCGCTACTGCAAAAGCAAACGCACTGACTTATCTTAGCAAAAGCCTATTCATTATTGCCTTGAGGCATTGCAATCGAATGGAAACACAAATTGTTCCATTATTTTCTAAGGTCGAAGCAAATCTTTTAGTCGTATGTTGATTACAAAGGGGTAGGCGTGGCAACGGATGGTGGTAGGGAGAGAGAGGAATTCAGGCATGTATTTCCTGTGTTTCGACCGTGGAGGGTAGGGAGAGCGGTGCCTCGCAATATTACTAATACATTCCCCCCTACTCCCCTCCCCCGAGCAGTTCAGCCATATTCGCATCAGCGGTGCGTTCCCGCTATAAAGTCGCGGAGGATAGGCCGAGTTGCGCATCAGCATACCAACACTTCCCTTTCCCCGTGGCTGTGGCGGTAGGGGAAGGGCACCCCTCCTGCCTCAGTTCACCAACACATCCGAAATGGATTCGGTAATTTCACTCTGAGCGGCCACCTTCAGCCAGCTAAAGTGGTTGATTAAGCCAAATAAGATGGGAAAGCAACTAAGCTTCACGCCACAACACGTCAGGAACCCTTTTTTAATTTTTTTCCATTTTCTGTGATGTTGGTACTATTAGATAGTACTGCTCTTGCAGCTTCATCTGACTCAGGGCCTTTCAGACCGCGATCTGATTAAAAAGGGAAAGAGAAAGGTGATGATGATGATGATGGTTTATGATTTGTTATTGTTACCAATCATCATGTCGCCTCTGTCAAATCATAAACTAAATCACATTGTACATGAATAAAAAAAACAGTGAAAACAAATTCTAATTACATACAGAAATAAAATAGTTTGATACTTAGAGGGTTGGTTTTTACGAGTGAGCCAACTCTGTCATAGTCTTACTGGACTATGCAACACATTCGAACCCCCTCTACACATCAAGTGTTGGAGGATTGAACGATCCATGTAGATCTGAAATATATTGTATTACCATTATCATCACCAATGTATAAATATTTTCATAAAACTCTTCAACAAAATTTTGATATTAATGCAGCACGTTGAAAAGTTTCTCGTAGAATTTAACGACCCATAGGTTAAACCAAGCTTATACATCTGCGAAGCACTTGTTCTATAATTTCCATTAATTGTTCAAATGTGTACAACAGTGCCACCAACTTATCTGTTCAGGTGGACAAAATTGGAACTAAGGCCGCCATATTACAAATGGCATTTCGCTGTAAACTTATTTATTCTGTGCTGTGATGAGAGTGCTTTGTTTGATTTCATTGTGAAAAGTGCAAATATATATATAGGACCTATCCTCAGTAAATTTCTTAAGTAGCAGTAGTAAACTCTCCAGTAGCGACTCTGTCAACTTTAAAGTTGGTGTTTGGTACATATTACAACAAAAAAAGTAATTTGCTTATGTCAAGACCAAGTTCGCGCCAAAACAGTAATTAAGAAAAACCTAAACCTGTCATATCACCATCATATAACCATCATAGGTAACCCGATGAATTGTACTCAGTAAAAAAAATTGACAAGAGAAAATACACGAAAAAAGAAAGAAAATACGCACAAGCAATTTTAGTTGTTTTTTTTTATTTATTTAACTTAATTGGAGTAACATTTTCAATAATACGCAATCAAAATATATCAAGTATTAACTAACATATAGTCCTTATGAATTAAAAATATGCGAATCAAAAATGTATTTTATGTAAGTTATTTAATCTTTGTTTCATTTATATAAATAAATGACTATTTATAAAGACGTTTCCATGCTAATGTGTATTGAGTTCGTTATTTAAATGAATAAAGGTTTAGATAATTATATTTTGAAAAACTTATTTATTTATGAATACAGGTAATGAGACGGAATAGCTCAAAAAACAAAAACTAATGACTTTCGCTGCAGTCAACCCAAAAATTTCAGTTAGTTTGACAGCGCGGTAATGAGAGACTTTTTCTGTCATCAGTGCGGCACCAGTTAGAAATGAGGTGAAATATTTAACAGATTCTTTATTCTTTTTTTTTAATTCTTTATTGTTGCATGTTGGTTAAGTTACATTGTTAAGAAAATGTAAGAGCTAATGTTTTTTCTGTAATATCAATTTTATAACTCATACTAAAAATGAATAAACTGAAAAATGTATATTCCTAAAACAGAATAATTAAAAAAAACAAATGAATTTAAAATGTGTAAAATATTAAAGAGCAATCCACTGATGCATTGTTTTGTGTAAGTTCTTAATTAAATAAAATTGTGTATCAAAAAACTTCAGTCCCAACTGGCCACATCTGGTGAGAGGAAGACAAAGACAAGTCCTCATTGGTGCTGTTGTATAGGCGGTACAGGTGCTGCAAACATAATCGTGCTGTAGTCAAAATGGTATGCGACGCGATATCAGTAGGTAAAGCAATTGTTTCGTAGATAGACGCGGCAGGCGATGGGTGTAACTATAGGTACATATTAGTTATTGATTG